ATCAGGTAAGGTGAGCAATGGTAATACTCGAGCACACGACCTTCGAACAGACGTGGTGTTGACTTAAGTCGCTTGATCACCGCCACCCTTTTGACAATTTATGCACTGTGCCTTCATTCTTCCTCCAGATATCCACCCAATCTGTCAGTGAAGATAATAAGTGACAGCTGAGTGCCACAAACAGTAGCACTCATAGATCTGCTCACCTTCTTTGCGCAACAAATTTTCTCACCTTTCTATCATTCTCTTTGCTTATACACTGTCTTTTCTTTGTCGGTAATCCATCATTAGATGGGTTACCGAGAGATAACAAGCAAAACTAGTGTAGCAAGTTGCTGAATTACCACGAGGAAAAAATTCAATGAAGTAAAGCACTACATGCATCGACGAACATTGCACATCGGTGTAGTCCATTTGGAGACACGTGCGAGTTCATTATTAAGCCAATGGAATAGACGAAATACGGATGGCGCAGCACCTTCTCAACTGAACACTGCCAACTTCGCATGAGCGACAGACACTGAAAGAAATATTCATATTTCTTTTAATACAGAGGGAAAACTAGTATTAGTACCCCGAGTGAGCAGATGCGCCTTGAAACCGGCAAACGACTTTTTTCATGTCGATAAGCTAGAACATTACGTGAATGGGCCGAGGACCAACTGTCGATTTATTGGTCTCGTAACACTTAGTAGTCAGACATCTGATTTCCGACCTGTAGGGCACGATAACACAACCGATCAGACCGTCAATGTGCAGCCCATTTGCCATTGTCATCCATTCGAACTGTAGCGCGCTCCTTCATTGTTCAACGCGGTTCTCTGGCGCTTCCAATAAACGTTCGCACAACAGCAATTGCCTTTTGACCGGGAATCGTTAGGAGACGTTTCTTGTGACAATATTTCGTGATCGAGTAGTAGACACAACTGAACTGGTGCGAGCGTGGGCAGTCATTCTTTCGTCTTGATTGCGGTTTTCGTCCGTTCTCAGGTCTCTACGTGATCTTTGGCTGCGTCATTCGATCCTTTAGTTGCATTGTTTTGTACATGTGATTCAGTTCGATGTGTCTTTTTACTGAGTACAGTGAAGAGTACCAGGCCTCGAGAAATTCTCTGGTGTGTTTTGACCGGGCTTGGTCGATGATTTTCACCGAGTTTAGGTGTAAATGATGTCCTTCTTGATCTTCATGGTGATATTTTTGTCCACCTTTAGTGTTTCAAGTGTTTTGTCCTCGTTGTTTTCCTTTTCGTATTCAGTTTTCAGTTTGAACAACCATTAACCATGCGCCGGTTTTAGTTGCTGTCTTTTGGCTGCCCATTTGGATGGATAATAGAAGACGGGAAAATTGAAGGTAGAGTAGAACAGAAAATGGAGAAGTTCAGTGGTCGAAGTTAGCAAAGACGAGACCGCACCTGGGTGTGGTGTGATGGCTTGCGTGCCTCCATGACCCTGCGAGCTATACAGGATTGCTTCTCACAGCCGTAGATCCAATCATGCCTGAAAGGTCAACGGGTAGAGGCCAGACAAAGCCAGCNCCTGGATTGCTCCTATCCACATTCGCCCTTGGACAGGTCACTCCAGCAAATAAACACGGTGAGGAGCAGTTTACCGGTCGAAAAACCCCCGCTATATGGACGAAGGAGCGGGGTACCTGGGGCTGTCTCTCGACAGTGGGAGAAGTCTTCAAACTTTATTGGACAGCTACCGCTCGCCCAAGCAGGGCAGCCCCCAGCTAATAAGGTGCTGCTCCGTCCACGTTCCGCTTGTCTCATTGGGTGCATGAGGCTAAGGGCCGATCC